GGGTTTCCTTGTGCCTTTTCCTGCTGGCTGGGATGGACCACACCATGTCATCCGGCCCCGTCATGCAAAACTTTGAGTGAATGAACAAACCCCTTTGTGATGGAAAAGTCCCAGGGGGACGAGGAAGAATCAGACCGGCTTGAGATCCCGGTGGATCACGAGCGGATTACGGACTGGTCGAACGATAGCGTCCAACGCTACGAAGATGTGGAGGTGATGCTCTGAGAAGTGGAGAGGCACAAAGGCGGAAGCGAACGGCAACGTTCCTGGAAGCACGGCGCCAATGGCGATGCTTGTTTGGACAAGAAGGAGGAGTCGCCAGGGTGTCCTGCCAGGGCCCCTTTGGAATTTCTGGGAGTTCCGGGTGATTTGCCCATTTGTGCCATGGTTCCCTGACAGCGAGGTAGCCCCGCAAAGGACTGGTCGAATGGAACGGCCTCTGGGGATGTTTGATGCTGTTCCCGGTTCGCCAGTCAAAAGAACTGAAGGGACCCCGTCTCCAGAACGGTCAGAACCCAACCAAGCTCCTGGGTTCTGAAACGGTGTTTGCCGGCGGGGTCACGTTCCAATGGGCCGCGGTCCCGCCTTGGAGTGACGGAGTTCTCACCTACCATAGTCAGCGCTATTGATTGTGTGTGTTGACTGCTTGCTGACTGCCTGCTGGTGTGCCAGGCATGTTGAACAAAGAGGGCAAACACGACAACGGGATGGGCCGTGGTCATGTTTTTGTACCTCGCCGGACGGAGATGCTTTTGTCAACACCCGCCAGCCTTTCCCTTTGTTAATGTTCTCCAAGACGCTTCTACCCGTTCTCCACCCACTCGTGGCCAACGCAAGGCATTTTCTTGCGCAAGGCAACCTTGACTTGCGAACTGAAGGCATTTGAGCCTCCAGTCGGTGGGTTTTTCAACGTTGGGCATCCCATTGCGCTGGGACAGCTTCCGTTCTCCTCTTCAGTCTCCAGTGGTACCCACAACAGGATGTTGGGGTTACGTCCACACAACATGACCTACCAAAAGAGCTGATTCGAATGCCCTGGCTGAGTATTTCGACTGATGCCGTCAAGAATTGCCGGTCCTGGCCGTCCTGGCTGTCTTGGGCATCATGATGTCCAGGAGATTGGGTTAATTATGGTGAGTTCGAAGGCTGCGATGAAGATTCGTCGTTGCGGTCCACTTGGTTCGATTGCTGCGACTAGGAGCAGAAAAAACCCTCTCAACCTGCCCGGAACTGAACATAACGTGCGCTATTGATAAGCGGTGGGCGGCCCAAATGGAACAACCTAAACAGAGGACCACATGGCTGTTTTGGCCGGCGCCTGTCCCCGGGTCTCGCAACTGACATGGTGCCAGAAGCTAATACCGGTCCTGTCCCGAATTCCTGCTAGCGTGATGCGCCCATCCCTTGCTTCCACCCTGTGAACATTGCCGCATTCTCGTCACGGTCACAAAGCGCAGGTGTCACTGGCGTGAGTGAGGCTGGGAAGGCATCGTCATGTCCATGGACCTTCCACAATGGAATGGAGTGCCGGGAGAAGAATTTTTGTTTGCTGTGTACACTACATAGTTCATGTCTCCTCCGCCCGTTCCTGCGCTGACCGAGGCTTTTCGGGAACCAGCTGCTGTTTTCGGCTAGGAAACGACTGGGTATGTTTCCCGGTTACCACCCCGCCCCACGGCATGCTGCGGTCTGCCACCAGTCAGAGCATTGCTACGCGTAAGGAAAACGCACGGAAAACGCAGTAGAGCGGCGTATTGCAGAATACGATACTATCTTACCTTTCAGCGATACATCGATACCGTGTTTTACCGCCAGGAGCTGCTTCAGTTCTTGTCTAGGTACCTAGTCCTACTTGGGCGTGTTTTGCAGCCATGGTCAATTACATGATTGCACCGTCCACCGTACCATTCGGTTGTTCCGTTTGGACAGGCATTCGTGCTATTCCACCTCACCTGGCGGTCTCCATGAGCTTGCCGGGATTGACTGTGCTCCTCCCGTCCCTATTCCCGCATGCCCGTAGCCTGTCAGTGGACAGCTCAAGAGCCACACCCAGAGGCAGTTTGCAGTTTGGGGTTTCCCACTGCAGCCGTACACTAGCCGTACCCCGTACCCCCCCCTTGGCTCCTCCCCCGGCCGCCCAGTTCCCTTTTCTTTCCCTCAATCCCTCTTCCCAGGAACGAGGAACCCTCTCCTCTCTTTCCTTATCCACACAACAGGACAACACACATAAGCCGTGTGTGTACCTTTATGTCCGTCAACAACCAAGGAGCTCGACCACAAATACTCCGAGTATAGACGAGGCAGTGATCGGCGCGAAATTAGTCGGAATTGCGGCGTTTTGGGTCTCACCTCACCTTTAGATATCCCAAGGGCTTGGAACCGAATAATACCGGCAAACAAACAAACACCAACACCAAACAACACCACGAGTCGACCACCACCACCACTACTACCATACATTGACATATGTCAGCCAACCCAACTACAGTCACACCAACCCACCCTCAACAAAACGATTCTATGATCAAGAACAACGCCATCGTCATGAGTTCGGCTACACAGGGAGGACCCGCGGTCCCTAAGGAGGAGAAGAAGGGCTTCGGCAAGGTTCTGGCAAGAGTAAAGACGGTTCTGAGGACGAAGCGACTTTCGACCAGCGGCGCAAAGGCCGATCCCGCTGCTCCCGCCGAGAAAAAGGGCAAGGAAGCCGCCAAGAGGTAAGGCCTATTTTAGTCTGGCATTGTCGGGAGGGTTCTCATTGGACACTCTGGCTGGCATGCTGTCCGCTTTGGGTTGTGGTCAACCAACCCATCCAACTCTTGATGATGCATTTCACTTCCCTTTTAACTCCAGTCTCTAACGAATGACTATAGCACCACGAAGACGGCCCCTGCTGCTGCTGCTGCGGCGGCCAAGACTGTGGACGCCAATGCCCAAAAGGTCCCTCGCGCCCAGTTGTTTGAGGAGCGTGCCAAGAAGCTCGGTGAGCTCTATGGCTTGGAGCTGAAGCCTAGCGAGTGGCACTCGACCGAGGGTCATGCTCTCCGTGTTGAAAAGCCCATCAAGATGCGTGTCCACCGCAAATGCCACCAATGCGACACCTCGTTCGGAGCTTCCAAGGAGTGCTCCAAGTGCAAGCATACGCGATGCAAGCAGTGCCCTCGTATTCCCTCCAAGAAGACCGAGGCCGAGAGGGAGGAGAGCAGGAAGAAGCGCGCTCAGATCATCAAGGATCGTGCCGAGAACGCCCCCATCGTCCCCGACTGGCACCCGAAGCGCGAGAAGGACCTCGTTCTCAGACGTCCCGCCAAGACCGGAACTCAGGATCTGGTTCACAAGAAGCCTCGCCAACGTGTGCGCAGGACCTGCTGCGGCTGCAAGAACCTCTTCACTTCTGGAAACAAGACTTGCACGGCCTGCCAGCACGTCCGTTGCACGGACTGCCCTCGAGACCCGTAAGTTTTAGCGCATATCGATGGCCTCGAGAAGCTAGTTATACTGACCCCTTGAACAGATCAAAGAAGGACAAGTATCCCTACGGCTATCCTGGAGACCAACCTTCGAAACGCCAGGCTTACTTCGAATGCAAGGCCTGCAAAAACACCTTCGCTTCGGAGCCAACCGTCACCACCTGCCCCAAGTGCTTCAACAGAAACACCGAGCGACTTGCGCCGAAGCGGGTGGAACCTCAACCTGACCCTGAAGCTTGGAAGAGCATACAAGCAAAACTCGCGGCGATGAATCTCAAGTAACACGATACATTTCGGTGTCCTTGTCACTCTGCTAGGAGGGAAAGAAAGAAGGATATTAGAACACGATGAAAATGAAGGTTTAAGCGAAGGAAGCTGATGATAGCGTCTTTTTTTATTTGGATTCGTTTTGCTCTTTTTTTTGTTTTGGCTGGCTCTCACCCAGACTCTCGCAAGCTTTTATCGCTCACAAGATGCATGCATTCATTCATAAGGCCACACGCACCACCATCTTTAGCACGATATGAAACACACGCGCATGTTCTAACCCCATTTTGCATGCATGGATTTTTTTCTGCGACGAAACAACACCTCTGATCTTTTCCCGCATATTTCTCGTCATTCACTATGTCGGCGCTCGATTTGATACCCAACTTTACGGACCCTGCTTATCAACTGCGAAATCTGAGAAGAGAACAACTTGTCTGTTTAGGGAACAGCAAAGGAATGGAGGAAAGGTATCCCTCATAAAGGTCCCTGTGGTCATGGAAGGGAAACACTAGGATATATTTCTCCATAGGTGCAATATATCGATCTGTCTGATAAAACAAAGTGCCAGTCCTCTTTGCCCATAGTCAATCCCTCAATTATTTCCAGTGTATCATCCTCCCATGGCATCGGGGCTCCTTCTGGTTTTGACCAAAAGTCGCCACTCACTCGTGTCACTCCCTGTGATACCAGGAACGCAAAAGCTTCGCACATCACATACCAATAGTGTTTACCCAAATCGGTGATCTTGTACCCGCGATGCGACATCGCGGCACACATACAGGCGCACACACGAACGCACACAATGCGCCTTCTTACCCGCTTGCCCGCCATGCCAGCTATTGTACTTATTCGCCACCTCATCAATACACGACACACAAACAGCTCCCGTCTTTTACCCCTTACGCTTATTGGGCCCTTTGCTCCTCTCCAAGCCCAACCCGGAAGTGAGGGCCCCGTTGTCTCCGTCTCGTTGGCTCCCCTGTCCCCGAGCCGCCTCTCCTTTATTGCTCCCATGGGGATTCGTACCTGAGCCACTTTGCCTCAGTCTTGCTTGGATTGGTGTTACACAGAATGATAGAATGAAGCGAGAGAAAGGGGTGCTTTGCAGTTGGCGAGTTGGCTCCGAGGAGACGGTTAGCTACACGTGTACGCAGTACGTAGTCGTGCTATTAGTGCGCGGGTCGGAAACCGGACTAGCCAGCTGGCAACGCATGGAAGCACAATGTGTTAGACAATCCTTTCATTCAACTAATGGAATGAGAACAACTGCGATACATACCTACGTATTGACTCCATCACTTGCCCTACATACTCGGACCCGTTGACCGTTACATTTGAGTCTCCACATGTTCCGACGGACGAGTCCCGGCTAGTCCAGTCCCTAGGGACCCCCACCACCAGCCGAGCCCGTCGACTCCATCAAGCCCGTTGAACCCGCCTGCCCGCCAGTCCATCGGAGACCCCGTTTCCTCGGACCCAACTCCCTGGGCCTGGGTTTGGGAGGTCTAGGTCTTTTCGCCAGAATTCTCGTAATACATGTAGTTTAATGAAAACGCCAATGAAACTTATTCGCGGGACGAGGCTCTGAGCGATGGACGGGTCTGGACTTGTTGAGAAAGGGACCTGCGGTGTTTGTTGGCTGAGCTGTTGGTTGGATGGGCTGATGTATCCCCTGACATAACATGAATAACATGAAGATGAAACCGGGTTTTATGGCCCAGAGTGAAATGGATAAATTGAAGAGAAGGGTCAGTGATTCCACGAACGGCTGCTCAATTCCAGCCTCTGGTCTATACGTTGGGAAAAGCTACAGAATAATCGCAAGAGTCAAAATCCTAAGAATTCGGAAGTTGAACTTGTAAAGTGGGATCGTGCCCACCGCCGAACACTTGATTCTTTCTTGGCCGCCAAACACCTGGACAGTTTGTAGCTACACATACATACAGGCACACACGCACGCACAAGCGAGGCCATACAACACCGCCTTTCTGATCAATTCGACTGGTTTCTGTACGGAATTTCAAGTTCTCCACGCCGCGCATTCTTACATATATATTATCAATACATTATGTCATCTTCACGAACACATTGTGGAAAGGTAACCCAGACAGTACCATCCGCTGGAAGCTTTTCCGACAACCAGATGACAAGGAGGGCGACAAGGCAGGGTTCATGTTCGCAAGATCCCTCGTTGATATCTACACCGCCCGGCTTGTTGGGTCCGGTTGGCAAGGGCATCTCGTGTTGACCGGGCTCGCTCATCTTGATCCCTTGACTCTAGCAAAGCCTGGTAAGCTCGGCAAGCCTGGTTGTCGGGAATGTGGATGGAGTCAAGGTGGTGGCCTTCCCCTTCCCTTGCTCACCTTGTCGCCCGCTTTCGCTACACTTATGGCATCCCGGATGCTTACCTTGGCCAGACTACGTACCGGATGACCGAAGCTTCGGTTATTAATGCTCTGGATCAGGATAAATGACTTGAATGATGCCAATACTGAGCCCGGACTGTCGGAGCGCGGATGGGGGCGGGTGGCTAGGAGCTCTCTTTTGGAAGAAGGAAAAATGACTTGTCCTGTCCATGACCATGTCAGCCATCGCATCACGGATTGCGAGCGTTTCCCGTAAGAAAGGATGGAGGCACCAAGATGATGAAATTCGATGTTACTTATCCTGGCGACGACCGCCCGTTTCTACCAATAGTCCTCTGTGGCTCTTCTCGCACCGTTCTGAAAGTCATTGGAGTTGAAAGCAGTGTGTTTGCCTGAAATATACCGTACTAAATGCACAGCTCTTTTACGAGGATGCCGTCGGTGGTCGTTCAGCGTCCACCAGACGTACGTAGCCTCTCCTCCACCGACCGTCTTCGTTGTTCCTTCTTTTCTGGGCAATCCGATGACCGAACATCACACGCAGTGTTGTCGTGTGACTGGTTTGCGTGAATGAGGTACTGTCCGTTTTGTGTGTTTTAGCGCTTTCAGCTTTCAGTTGGGTGCTTGCGCAAGAATGGCGCAGATAAAAGTCCGAGGCGGAGAACAAACAGACATCTCTGAAATCTCACACACATCCTTTAATCCACATGGCAAGTGGTGGTTGGGTGGGTGGCTTGCTATATGGGACAACCGGACTGGTTGCGTGGCTGAAGCTTTTTCCTCACTTCCAGCAGAAAGGGTCATCGCATGGCTCGACGTTGAGGCGAAACGGTTTCAGCAAAGCACGCAAGAAAAGGTTATGGATCGATGTCTCAAGACTCTCGGGAACAGAGACCGATCGAAAGGGGAGTGCACGAGTGGTACAGTCATGCAGTGTAACAGAAGTGTAGGTAATAAGCTTCTTGTTGAAGAGTGAGAGTTTAAAGAAACCGACTGCCTACCTCCTCTTGGTCTGACCTCTGAGACGATCCAACAAACAGGTCTCATGCCCAATATGCGCGGGCAAGATGATCCTCCGTTGTCATCACCTCAAGCCTCAAGATAACTGGAGGGTACCCGAGCCAGCGCCTACAAACAAGTAAACAGTGGACCAAACCTTGGCCAGGCCCTTTTACCGCCTCATTGTGGTTTATTATCGTCAATGATCATCGGGCACCCCTTCTGCCCTCATGCCGTCTCTCTTTTTATGGTGTCTGCTCGGGCATGTTTGCCTTGATCTACACCATCACCTCCTCGTGCCCCTCTCGGGAAGCTCCTTTCTTTCCCGGACACCTTACCCCTCTTCTTTCCAAACTGTCGGGTATCATGATGTGACTTCACCCGTCCGTATTGGTGTAATGCCATGCATCCCGCCCATTTGGGTCGTTTATCGCAATGCTCGTTTTGTCAACTTCCCTAACACTCACCTACCCCCTGTCTCCATGGGACTTGTGTTTTCCACACCACTTTTTCTATCTCCTTTTTGCTCATCAACTTCCTGATAACACTATTCTTTGATTCTCGCCTCCCTCTTATATATTCGTATCCATACGACTTTCTTAGTATTTAATGGTTTCGTTTATTTTTGTCCTGGCGACCCGGCGTGCCGTTTCTTGTGCGAAACAGTGTTCGACCCCTTACGACAGACATATGGGATGCTGAAGTGAAGAGGAAAAAGAGGGCTACCAACATGAGACAAAGCACACATCTTTGAATTACTACCTGACTGGCTAGCTGACTACAGGACCTGCGACACAGTTGGTTGTTTAGGAATATATACATTCCAGTTCACTTGCACAGTACTGTACGTTATCGATTTGAGACGTACATGCGTCTCTCACCCACACCGCCCGCTCGCTTGACAGATAGTCATGTAGGCCACTCCCTCGGTACTGTATCAAGGATAACGTGCAAAAATATGGCGTCGTCGGATCCGGGCATTGGCGCCGAAGCTAGGTATGCACACGTGTAAGGTATGTAGCGGAACGACGAGGAAGGGAGAGCGGTGGACAAATCGAAGACGGAGACGGAGATACAGAAACGTGATCTCTTGCCAGCACTGCTTTGCTACCGCTGTCTGCTTGTCTCTCCGAGCGCTTGGTTCCTTTCCAATCGCAAAACGTGAACGGAGAAAAGTGCTGCTGGTAATGCAGTGATTGGTGACACAGAGATGCGCCACGCATAAAACTAAACACGACGCGACTATCACTGGGAAGAGAATGAAAAGGAAACAGGAAATATAAAGGACGCTGCACTGAAGGGAGGCAATACGTTTTGCTTGTTGTGGTGTTATATAAGATGGTTGTAGTATAATTCTCCCCACGATGCCCAAGTAACTCTCCAAGAGAAGCAAGCGAAAAGTCAGTGATAATGAGGGTCAGGCAAAAGGCGCCTTGAGTTCCCGTGACACGCTAAGTTGATCAAACATCTGAACCAAGCAGAATTACAGCCCAAAATACAGAGATTTTGCAAAGGTTGAGCCAGCCCAGACTATTTCTTGGAGAAGAACGACATGATGTTGCCCTGCCCCTTGGGCGCAGGCTTCTTCGCTTTCCCGGCCGCCGCGGGTGGCGCCGAGTTCGCAACCTTGGGCTTTGGTTTGGCGGCTGGCGGAGCCTCATCCTCGGAGAAGGACTCCCAAGCAGGTTCCTGTATGGTGACTGCGACGACACGTCAGTATCCATGTGACTATGGTCATACGGTGGTCGGGTTATCAAGTGTAACTTACCCAGATATCCCTGATCATCCATAATCTGCTTCTTCTTCATCACCCTCCTCTTTCCACGCCTCCTTCCATCCCCACTTGTCGTCACGATCTCCTTTTCCTCCTCTTTGGCAACCTCAGCCTTGGCGGGTGGCTCCTCGACGACAGGCTCTTCTTCTTCCTCTTCCTCTGGGACGGGAGAATCAGCTGTCTCTTCCATGTCCTCGTCTTCGTCGTCCTCCATCATTCTCCTCAGTTCCTCTTCACGCTCCTTCTTGCTCTTCCTCGTAGATACGGCACCCGGTTTTGGCAACGGAACGTCATCGTCATCCTCTCCATCGTCTGACAGGGCAGCAGGTGTCTCCTCGGCAGCGGTTGTAGACTTTTCCGACGTCTTGGCCTTCTTGGGCAGGGAAGCGGCCTTGGAGAAGGCTTGCATAATACCAGAAGCGGCGGAGGTATTACGTTTGAGTGATGGCGCAGGTTTCTTGGTGGTGGCAGTCAGTGCTTCGGGTTCCATAGCCGGTGCAGCGGATTTGCTCTCCTCCTGGGGCTTTGCTGGTGCGGCGGCAGGGGCGGGCGCTGGCGATGGTTTAGCGGGTGCCGTCTTGGTGGGTGCTGCTTTGGTCTTCGACTCTTGCTTGGCGGGTGCGGCAGCCTTGAGTCCGAGTCCCTTTCTTTCTCTTCGGCGTACGTGAGAATTGACGATGGTCCGGGGCCGTGGCTTCTTAGCATCATCCTTGATGGCTAGCGCACTTTGAGCGGCATCAACAAGCAGCGTAAGATCCTTCGCTGGGTGAGGTCCGACGCTGTAGACATGTATCGATGATATTGTCTCGTACTCTTTGAGGACGTCTGCTAACCGCTCCTCCTGGACCAGTACGAGAGTGTATGAGGGCACTTCTTCGTCATCAACCGGGTCCGCGTCGGGAAGCGAACTAGGCAAGTCGATGTCCATGGCGTTGCCATTTTGATTCTGGACAGACTTCTTGATACCGTATAGCAGGTAAGTGGCATAGACAGTCCCGGGCTTCTTGCTGCTCTGGGTCTTGTGGAAATCATAGAGCATTCTACTTGGTGTAAGTCATTGCTGATTCTTGAATCTTCCGCTCGTTAACTTACTGTTTCGCTACATTGGGGTGTACACGCAGGGCCCGACTCAGCAAGCGATAGGTGACCTGAAGTTTGATCTCATGTTAGTCGCGGCTCTGCACCTTTCAGCTTCAATGCCATCAACGAGTTGTAATCGGGTGGGTGACCTACCACCTTGTCCTCACTGAGGATATTCTCGGCCAAGTACGTCTTGTAATCCTCCATGGCGAGAACAAAGCGTTTATTGATCTGAAGACACTGCCTTCGTTAGCAGTGATAGCTTGGGCTAATCAAAGTCGATGGAGTCAAGGTGGAAGTGATCAAAAGAGCAAAAGCCGATAAATGATTGATGTCTGAGGCGCGTCGTCGACGTGAATTTGCCCGGCAGGCAAGCCAGCGCTCCCCGCGAAGTCACGTTTAGCGGCTTTGGTGTTGGTTTCTCGAGTGGCGCCCGTGCGGCCCCTGGGTGCCTGGTTCCCGTCTCTCCGCAGGGGAAGGAGCACCCAAAGCACTAGTGTACTGTAGGTAAGTAGCCGAAACTGACCGACAGACACTCTGACAGGCTGCCTGACAGTTGGCGTGCACCCTGACGGGCCACGAGTTTCAGTATTCCGGGGCTGCCATGCGGTGCAGGTACCTCACTGGCTCAACGCCTAGCCTGAAGAGCTCCCCCCCCGTCGTGGCATTGGCACCATGAATCGCAACTGGAACCTCGAGCTTTACACAGTCCCTTGACTTTTTTCTTCTTCTATTTTTGGCAGCTGAGCTTTGGTTGATTCTCTTCCAAGTGCCTGGAGGGCCTCTGTGACCCTTTTCCTTCGCTTCAACCAGCTGTGTTAAAGTCCCCAAGCTCTGCTTCGCGTCCAGGGCGATATCATTGAACGAAGCCCCCCCCCCCTAACTTTGTCGACATCCAACTGCCCCTGCTGCGCCATGATGCGCCCGACTTAATATCCACGATTCGCATATAGAACAGAGCTCGATATAGTAATTGTACAGATTCACGAAAACGTCCATCCTTAGACGGCCATTTTTGGCCTCAAATCGACTTCATCATGGCGGCCTTTCCACGGTTCAGGTTTCTGGCCATCGCCGTCATCTTCCACTTCGCCTATATCTTTTCCATCTTCGACATCTACTTTGTCAGTCCCATTGAGACTGGCATGCGCTTATTTAATGTTCAACGACCCCCAAATCGCAGTGCGCCAGCGGACCGGCTGGTTCTGTTCGTAGGTAAGTGGGCTACTCCGAGCCCAATGTGTCGCGGCCAAGTGCTAACCACATTTTCCTTCTTCCAGGAGACGGCTTGCGCGCCGACAAGGCACTTCAGTCCCACCCTGAACCATATCCCAAATCCGATGCCGATCTGACTCCGAGACCTCTCGCCCCCTATTTGCGATCAAAGATCTTGGAACAGGGAACCTTTGGTGTCTCCCATACGCGTGTGCCAACCGAATCTCGACCCGGTCATGTTGCCCTCATTGCTGGTCTGTACGAAGATGTGTCAGCCGTTACGACAGGATGGAAGTTGAACCCGGTCAACTTTGACAGCCTGTTCAACCGCAGTCGGCATACGTGGAGCTGGGGCAGCCCGGATATTCTACCAATGTTTGAGCAGGGAGCTGTCCCGGGGAGGGTTGACGCCTACACGTACGGACACGAGTTCGAGGATTTCTCATCCGACGCCACCCAGCTCGACCTCTGGGTCTTTGACCATGTAAAGGATTTCTTTGCTGAGGCCCGCAGGAACAAGACGCTTGCTGAGGCGCTTCGCCAAGACAAGATTGTCTTCTTTCTGCATCTGCTAGGTTTGGATACTACTGGTCATTCATACCGCCCTTACTCGAAGGAGTACCTCAACAACATCAAGATTGTGGATCAGGGCGTGAAGGAGGTTGCTGAGCTCTTCCGCGACTTCTACCGCGATGGTAGGACTGCGTTTGTATTTACCGCGGACCACGGCATGAGCGACTGGGGAAGCCATGGTGATGGTCACCCAGACAACACACGGACCCCCCTGATTGTTTGGGGTTCAGGGGTTGCCAAGCCTCAGTTGTACCCAGGCGAAGTGGCGCCCGGCCATGATGAGTACTCTGCAGACTGGAACTTGGACCACGTTAGGAGGCATGATGTCGCTCAGGCTGATGTTGCTGCTCTCATGTCCTACCTTGTTGGCGTTGAGTTTCCTGCCAACTCGGTCGGCGAACTCCCCCTGTCGTACCTTGCTGCCGACATCAAGGAAAAGGCTGAGGCCTCGCTGGTGAACGTGCAGGGTATCTTGGAGCAGTACCGGGTAAAGGAGGAAAAGAAGAAAGCCACTGAGTTGAAGTATAGGCCGTATCAGCCATTTGGAGAAAACGGCCTGTCCCCGGAACGTCGCGTTGCCGAGATTCGCCAGCTCATTGACGCTGGTCGGTATGAGGAAGCTATCGAAGAATCAGCTGCCCTTATGAAGGTCGGTCTCGGTGGCTTGAGATATCTCCAGACCTACGACTGGCTGTTCCTGAGAGCGCTTATCACCATCGGTTATCTTGGCTGGATCGCCTATGCTCTTACAACAGTCGTTGATTTGCACGTCCTACACGGTCGTGTGCGACCGTCGAGAACGCTTGGCGGGGGCTTGTTCTTTACATCGGTTCTCGTTGCTCTTTATGCGTCCTTTGTCATTTCAAAGTCACCCCTCACTTACTATGTCTATGCCTTTTTCCCGGTTTTTTTCTGGGAGGAAGTTTATGCGCGTCGCGAAAGTCTGGCGGCAGGTCGCAAGGAGTTGCTTGGCCATATCAACTCAGGTGGAAGTGTGGCTTCATTCGTGCTCAACAGCGCGCTTTATGTTGGCGTGATTGAATCGCTTGCCCTGGGCTACATCCACCGCGAGATTCTTTCCGTTCTCTTCGTGCTGGGTTCCTTCTGGCCTTTTACCCACGGCCTGTCGTTCCTCAAGAAGCATGGGGCGCTGTCTGCCACCTGGTTCCTCGCCTGTATCGCCATGAGCACGTTCACGCTCCTACCAGCGATGAAGGCAGAGAACGTCAATCTCATGTTCGTACACCTCCTCCTTAATTGTTGATTTCTCCCACTCACTAATTGGTGTATAGTACGATCGGAGGCGTATTGATGGTCGTCATCGGCCTTCTTTACCTTATTTTCGAGGACTTTGTCCTCGCGGACTTCTCATGGAACGCGAAGCCTACTTCCAGGAACCACCTATCCAGGTCACTCGTCGGTATCCAAGTGGGCCTCACTGTACTTTCCATCGTCATCACTCGCTCCAGTGCCCTTTCGCTGCAGGCCAAGCAAGGCCTTCCTCGCGGCAATCAAATTATGGGTTGGGTTACTCTTGGTAAGTCCTCGCAATGCTCGCCGCAGCTGATGACTCTTGTCTAACCTAAGCTCAACAACAGTCGCGTCACTACTCATGCCCTTGGCCTACCGTTTACAGCCCAACAACCACTACATGCACCGGATCCTCGTCATCTTCCTCACCTGCGCTCCGACATTTGTCATCCTTACCATCTCTTACGAGGGCCTTTTCTACCTCGTCTTCTCCGCTCTTCTCGTGAGCTGGGTTCGCCTCGAACACGCAGTTCAGAAGTTCACCTCCTCCAAGTCACCACAGACCACCGCCACCAAGAAGCCAACAACAACCACGGAATCCCACCTCCCCGCTCCCTTCCGCCCTCTCACCCTCCATGATGCCCGCGTTGCCCTCTTTTTCTTCATCCTCCTTCAGTCGGCCTTCTTCTCAACCGGCAACGTTGCCTCCGTCTCCTCCTTCTCCCTCGACTCGGTCTACCGTCTCATCCCCATCTTCGACCCCTTCTCGCAGGGTGCCATGTTGATCCTCAAGCTGATGATCCCCTTTGCCCTCATCAGCGCCAACCTAGGTATCTTGAACAAGCGTCTCGGCGTGGCCCCTTCGGCCCTGTTCATGGTGGTCATGGGCATCAGCGACATCTTGACGCTATACTTCTTTTGGGTGGTCAAGGATGAGGGCAGCTGGCTGGAGATTGGAAGCACGATTAGTCACTTCGTCATTGCGAGCTTGTTGTGCGTGTTTGTGAGCGCGTTGGAGCCGGTTAGTGCGGCGTTTATTGCGGGGGTGGATGTTGGAGAGGAAAGTGAACTAAAGGAGGAGGGTAAGGTGGCGGAGAAGGTGGTGGAGAAGGTTAATGAGGCTGTTGAGGGGTTGGTCGGCGGTGGTGACGGTGGTGGTGGCGAGAGTTGAGATAGGGATCGTGTAAAAGGAGCTGAGCTGTTGGTGTATCGATAATATATGTCATGTTCGATACGATGATGCATAGAGGATCAAAAGAAAAGGGGAACCGCCAGCTAATAGTTGGATAGTATATATATGGCATATACAGCAGATGTGTCACACAATCTTGGTGTTTCTCCGAGACACCTTGTCGCCCTTCTCCAGACATGGCAAACATTTTTTTCTTGTTCTTTTCTTTTTTCTCTCTTTATCTTCCTCATTAATTTCCTTCCCGTCTTACTTCTTTCCTTCCCTACTTTCCTCTTTTCCCATTATCTCTCTCATTCTCATTAACGCAAAACATCTTGAAGTTGAAGTCCATGATTTCACTGAGCAGCATAATAACATCGTTGGACTCGATGTCTATGCAGTATCCTACACAACATATGTCATCCTCCACCTGTCGTTCAACCTCCAGTCAGTGCCGCACATACCGCGCGAGTCCAAAGTGAAAATTGCGTTGATTACATGCCTGGTAGACCTACCCATTTAAAATATAATTTGCCTTGTTTAGGTACTATATTGTGTTGCTTAGAGGTGGTTTTTCTGCCTTGCATCATGGCAGCGTTCTGGCAGGTGCGTCTTACACTTGCTTTACTTTGCGTCGCTTCACAATGTATGCAACCACGTCGGTGCCTAGAGGTATATGTGTACCTCTAGGTAGGTAGGTAGTTTCAACTTAGGACAACAATACCCTTAGTATGAAAAGCCGCGGAAAGACCAAAAGATGCCAGTCAGAAGGGCAGAGATGACCCAAGTGTCAGGGGTCCCCCAACCAAACTCCGACGGGATCGGAATCGGCAGTTTCGCTTAAATCCCGCTGCGTATCCACTATCGGTCGCCCGTCCCCACACTCGGTCGACATTCGGTCGGGGGAGGGAATCCTGGGAAGTTGTTAGATAAAAGAGGTAACCAGGGTGGCCAGCCCAGCTACCTTACGTAAGCTCGCCACGCTGGCATTACCTCGATACTAGATTTTCTGTATAAGGGATTTCCCCAACACAGAGCTCTATACAATATATAGTCTATACCCTCTACTGAATTAATACCCCTCCCTGCTCGTGCCTGTATTCTATAATTAAGAGTCTTATATACGATAATTACCGGTTAAAACAATCCGGGTAAATATAGTATAGTAATTACCTACCGAAGTAAATAAAACTATGTAATATAATGCGATAATATCCACCTCTATCGATTTTAAGACTATTAGTAAGGTTATTTTTAATAAATTCAAAGATTAGTATTTCTAAAAGAAGAGATTTAAAGATAAGGCTTTTAATAAGGAGCTCTAGTCTTTTTTATTAACCCGGATCCTGAGAAGCGAATTCCCTAGCTTACTACTCCTATTAAACCGCTAGTTATTAATTTTTAAAAACTATCTAAGGATATCCAAGTCTAGTAATAAATCTTCGATACTATAGAGGTAAATAACGGTCCCCCGGCAATTAATACCCGGTTGTCTTAAACCGCCTGGTTAATTATAATCCCGGCCCAGACCCTAGCGTTAATTTAAACTCCCTCCGGTTTACCTATAAAGGTCTCTTTTACTATTAAGCGTTTAGGCTTTACGTTTAAATCCGATTTTCGTGATTATAAAGCGGCTCTAGTTAGTTACCGCTAGAAAAAGAAGGGCTAAAATAAATTTATTACTAATATTGATAATATTAAAGATTAAATAAAGAAGTATATTATTAAAAAGATTAATTTAATTTACTTCCTAACAACCGAAACTATTATTGTCTAATATAATAAACTCTATATAATAATTAGTTATAATTTAATTAAAGTTCGAAATGATATCCGTACTAAATATTAGAAAGAAATCCGCTTTATTTATACCCTAAAGAATTAAACTATTTAATTTAAAGAATAGAAAGAGGTTATAATTATTAATTAATATTATAATATTAATGAATATATTAACCCCGAGAATTAGCGTTAAAATTTCCTCTACGCAATAAATAAATTCCCCAGTTCCTTACTTATTACTTAGGCTATAGTATATTACTAAATTAAGAATGATGAATTTTATACCTTTATAAATATAGCCCGGGAATTTAAGTAGGTAGTCCTTAAAATATTTCTATTAAATAAAGGTCTCTCTTAAATTTATAAGGGTAGTACGTTCGGAATAGTAATTATATATACCGAATTTAGTAAGGACGCCTCTAGTAACTCCCGGGATAATAGAAGTAAAAGGCCAGCCGGTAATTATTAAAATTATTAAAATTGCAATAAATAGTTAAAGAAGGCTTGCCCTACTTATAAATATATAAATTATAAATTTGAATACTATTAGTATATTAACTTAGCAAATTAATTAGAGAACTTTAGAGAAAGTTAATATATATATAAGCGAATTAATAAGAATTATAAAAAAGACTCTAAATTTATAAATAAAATCTGAGAGATTTTAAAAGATATTACTACTAAAAAGACTAACTAATCCTACTAAAATAACGTTGGTAACTTTTAATTTAATAGCTAATAGGTTGGTAATATATGCTATAAAGCGAATTTCTTAGTACCAAAACCCTATAAAAATAGATTAAAATACCTATTAAGGGACTTAGCAATTCTTAATTCAAATATAATAATCTACATTTTTAATAAAATTAATCGGTTTAAAGGTTTTAAACCCGCGAGAGAGGGAAACTATATCTAGGCAGGAAATAAGTCTATTATAATTGAAGAATATAGTTTAATTTACCTAATATTAAGTAACGACGAATGATTGCCTATTAATTTTAAATTTAATAATATTGTACTTATATTTAGAATAGTATATAATCTAATATTTTTAAAAAGGTTATTAAAAAAGGAATTATATTAAAATTAATTATTTAATCCGGAGTACTTTCGCTTCTACTTAAATAATAACTATTTTTACCATCTCTCTTTAGAATTTAACTAATTTATATTAGAATATATACCCTTTAAGACATATACTAACTAATCCTCTTTTTATATATAATTTTACTAATTTATTAATAAGACCGCTAGAAAATTTTAAGAAGGTAATACTTTGCGCTAGTACTTTCGCTTTAATTATTCGGGATTAGAAACCTTAGCCTAATTAACGAATAAAGAGTACGGAGTATATTTAAAGGGCCCTAATTTCATTTATTATAACTCCTATATAGTAACTAAAATAAAGCGCTAAATATATAGAGAAGTCCGTAATGCGCCGGAAGGTCCTAATCTCCGCCTTACTATTAATTTCTTTAATTATCCTCTAATTAAAATCCCTAATAGAAATATAGTATTAAATTTAATAGTCGTTATAGATTGCTAGTTTAGAAAAATATAATTATATTACCTACCGGACCGGATAATAGACTTAATTATCGTTATACTAATATTATTATTCAATAGTTTTAAATTTTATTACTAGATTCGACTAAGGATAATTAAATATAATAATAAAATAATTATAAATAAACTCTGTATTACTACCTTCTCAATAAAATAAGGTACGGTTCTTAAACCTTCGGCTTTATATACCTAAATACAAAACGGTAGTACCGAACGCTCGGAGGGTATAATTAAAGAAGAATCGGTAGTAATAAGAGAATTAGTAAATTTACTATAAGAATTTTAAAGAAAAATAATAATAGTAGCAGTATACTTATTAAACCTAATTCTATAATAGGAATTCAACTAAAAATTTCCAAAAGAGCGCTTTACTATATATATAATTAATTACAACGGCGGTTAGTAAAGACTAGTACTATAATTATCCTACCTCAAAGTTTATAGCTATAAAACTTTCGTACTTATAGTCGATATTCTACGCGGTTAAAAACGGACTTGGAAGCTTAAACGATGCGTTTAGGTAGAGTATTTAGTCAATTACTAATTTAATAATATCTATTATATTTAAAACTTATATATAAACTAAATAATTGTAATAAGAAATATAGTCTTTAATAAGGATAAAATCTTTATAAATAAAGTCGAGAAACTCTATAATACCTTCAATATTTCCCTTAAAAAATTGGCCGTATAATTGAATAATATTTATTAATTAGAATTTAATATATCCGATCCACTACTTATTAAAAGCGCCGAAGCAAAAAACGAAGAGACCGATCCAGTCGTTAAATCCCTACCTACCGCTAATAGTACTGCGACTTCCGAACTAACCGAATATATATATATATAAGAGGAGGAATAAAGAGAGGGTATTAGAGTTCTAGTATTAGAATTATAGTTATAAAACGATTAATAGAGTATAATAATAAATAAAGAAGAGAAAATAGGTTATTTTACTCCTTTAGAAAGTCTAGTATTATTCTTTATTAATAGCCTTAATATATTGTACCCCTAATAGAACTAATTAATATATAATAAATACCTTTACTAGGTTAGGTCCTTCTTAATTACTTTAAATAAAATAAATATTAGGTTGTATAATAAACGGCTTATTAATAAGGAAACCTTTAACCGGTTAAAACGTATAGCTACTAGTAAAACGGAGGAAGGAGAGAAATTCTCCGACAATTCAAAATTAATTAGTAATATTGTAGATTATTATAACAATTTTAATACTTTAACTAATTTCTACTAACGAAAATTCCCTCCTCCCCCTTGGGTTTATAGAGACTTTAATTATTATCCGTTTAATAATCTCTTCTATAAAGTTAAACGAAAGTATATAAAAAATTATAAAGAAAAGAAATTATAGGCGTAGGTTAATAAGGACGAATAATATACTAATACAATTATTGAATTATTCAATTTAATATAGGTATATATATATAAATTTAGTATAGAAGGGTATTACTTCAAATATAAAATTCGTTTAATAGTTTAAAGAAATTAATAATTATATAATAACGTACGAGAAATATACGCTACTACTCTTACAATCCAATCTTTTAGAATTATAATAATAATCGCCACTTACTTCAATTTCGAGTTTAAATAATATAATACAGTTAATACCTTCGTTAATATAGTATTGAATGAAATTATTTATATAAAGCTATTATACAATTAAAAATATAAGGGTAAAGTATTAAAGCTACTATATATTCTATATAAATTATAGCGTTTTTTACTACTTTAATAAAAGGAGTTTACTAAGACTCTTGTAGAAACTAGTTTTACCCCTATTC